ATTTTGCTAGATTAGGTTTTACATTTCTAACAAGTTCCCAAGTGCTGCGGTGCTGCTGGTGGGAGGACTATACTGAGTGTCTGTAGTTTAGGAAATTCTAAAAATCTTTGAGAAATACTGATCTCGGTGCACGGGTGCCTTTTATTCATTCAGGATCAGGCCACTGTCTCCCCAGTGGGACTGGACTGGAAAGGTCATCTTGGGCAGGGGGTGGACACATAATCGTGGCCGCCTCCCATAGCTGTGCACACCCCCGCCCTGCTTTGGAACGGGTGCCCTTCCAAGTGTCCCTCGAAGACCTGGGTCTTTTCCTAAGCAACTCAGTTGAATTGACAGAAGACCTTTGTGGGAAAGGGGCTGTAGTGGAGCAGAGGCTTAAGGACCTGGTTGTTGTTAGTTTTCAAGGAGTTGATTGTGAATCAGGGCGACCGCATATGTGTGGAGTAGAATTGCTCTGTAGGGTTTTCAGGGCTGTGATCTTTAGGAAGCAGATTGCCAGACCTGTCTTCCAAGGCACCTCTGGGTGAGTTCAAATCACCAGGCTTTCAGCTAGCAGTCAAGTGCTTAACTGTTTATGCCACCCAGGGACTCCTAGGGACCTGGAGTGGAAGCTAAAAAAAGTGGCTCATGGTGTGTGTGTCATGGGGGAGGGCTGGGGAACTCTAGCTTGGGGTGTCCAGTGAAGTTTCCAGACTTTCCTGAGAGACCACATTCTTAGATAACCCCCATCCCAGCCTGGGTCAAGGAGACAGCCTGGTGTGGACTTATTCTGTCTTTTAACTGCTGCTGTGTGACCTGATCAGCATGGGAAGGGGTGGGTTTTTTTCATGCAGTCAACAAATAGTGAGTCCAAGCAATGAACAAGACAGACCCAATACCAATGGCCTGACCCTGAATGAATAAAGGGCACGCGTGCACTTGAATTTACAGCCAAGAGAAATCTTAAATAAATACGCACATGATCAATTGCTGTATTTATCACAACTGGGGAGAGGTCAAGGATACATTAAGGGCACATTCACTCTAAGGGCACATTCATTCAAGGGGACTTGCGTTAATTTGGGGGAGTCATCTCCTCTGAAGAAACAAAGTTTAAACTTTGGGCTGAAATGTGGAGTGAGAGTTAGAAGGATGTCAGAGTAAGACAGGAGGAAACGTTCGTTCATTAAATATTTACTGACCGCCTACCACGTGCCAGGCAGTTCTAGTGAGGAGCAAAACAGCCCTGCTGGGGTTCCGAATGTGCAGAGCTCTGGGATGGGAGGGTGCTTGGTGTGTCGGTGTTCCAGGAACTGAAAGATCAACATGGGTGCAGCACAGAAGTGAGGGGAATGCCAGGAGAGGGGAGGCAGAAAGGCGGGTGCGTGGGTGGGGCCTCATCACTGCAGAGTATTGTGGATCACATTTAGATTTCGACTTTAGAGTTAGAGGTTAGAGTTTACTGCTTTGGGGCTTGGGAAGGTCTCTTTACTAGCCCTCAGGCAAGCCCGCTCGGATGAAGGGATAGCAGAAAGGCACAGGCTGCCCACGGTTACTTGGGATTGTCTTCTTTTTTTAAAAAACGTATGATTTTCCTCAAACCTGTGCCCAGTCTCCACCCTAAGCTGGGCGACGTCAAAAGACACCAAGGCTCCTACATCATCAGAGTTCAAAGGACCCTAAGAAAACATTGAGTCTAACCCCTTCATTGTAAAGAGAGGGTGATGCCCAAAGATGGTGATGAGCTGCTCAGGGTTGCATTGCTTGACTGTATAGGACACTGTCGGTACCCACCATATCGCCTTCTGCCTACCTGCCCACCCTGGAGGTCACCTGCAGATAATTCCTGGACATACCTTGGGCAGCTCCCCATCTCTCTCTGAGGGCTTTAGGGCCGGCTGGGAGAGCTTAAGAAATAATGCCGCAGTAAGGACCCTTTATTAGTCAGGGTTCTCCAGAGAAACAGAACCAATAGGAGATATAAAGAGATTTATTTCAAGTATAATTGGCTCATGCAATTGCGGGAACTGCAAGTCTGAAATCTGTAGGACAGGCCAGCAAGTTGGAAACTCAAGGAGTTGATGCTGCAGTCTCGAGGCAGAATTTCTTCTTTGGGAAACCTCAGTTTTTGCACTTAAGGCCTTCAACTGATCAGATGAGGCCCACCCACATTATCTAGGATAATCTTCTTTACTTCAAGTCAACTGATTGTAGATGTTAACCACATCTACAAAATATCTTCACAGGCAACTCCTAGATTAGTGTTTGATTAAATAACTGGGTACTATAGCCTAGCCAAGTTTACACATAAAACTATCGCAGACCCCCAACCAAGGTTCAGAGTTGGTGATAAGTACCCAATTTCTTCACGCTAGATGGACAACTTGAAGGCACAGTCTAATCAATATGGTCACTTAACGGGTCCCCAAGAAAACTAAGCCCTAGGCGCCCACAGTGATAACTCCCTCATTAACATATCCTCTATTGCTTTTGATCTTCGTCTTACTTCCTGTTATGGATTGAATTGTGTCCCTCAAAAGTTATGTTGAAGTCCTAACTCCTGACCCTGTTTGGAAATAGGGGTTTCTTTTGTTATGTTACAGAGGCCATACTAGAGTAGGGCGGGTCCTAAACCTAATTACTTCTGCGTGGTGTCTTATATAAAGGGAGACACACACATAGGGGGGAAGAGAGCATATAAGGAACCGTCTACAAGCCAACGAATGCTAAGGAACACCTGCGACTATCAACAAGGAAGGACCCTCCCCTAGAACCAGTGTCCTGATTTGGACTTCTCGCCTCTTAAATTAAAGAAGTTTCTGTTCTTTAGTGCCACCCACCTGTGGTATTTTTTTATTACTGCAGCACTAGGTAACTAAGACACTTCCCGACTCTCTCATTATGCTTCCTGGGATCACTTCCCAGATAAACTACTTGCTCCCAAATCCTTGTCTCAGGGGAAATCAAATTGAGGCAGGAACCACGGCAGAGCTAGAACTGCAGGTCTTGACTCTCGGTACAGTGCTCTTTCCTCTACCCCCGAGTTTCTCAACCTCAGCACTATTCGGGCTGGATAATTCCGTGTTGTGGCTGCTGTTCTGTGTACGTAGGGTGTTTAGCAGCATCCCTGGCCTCTACCCTCCAGATACCAGTCACACCTCCCAGCTGAGACAATCAAAAATGTCTCTAGACACTGCCAAATGTTCCCTGGGGCAAGATCGTCCCCAGTTGGGAACAACTCTTGCTTAGCCCAGTGGAAGAATTCCAAGTCCTAAGATTCCCTTCCTTTCCCGTGAAAGCTCTGGAATTTACCACCCTCTCCTCTAAGAAAAAGGATCCCTGGTGGAGCAATGGTTAAGGAACTTGGCTGCTAACTGAAAGGCTGGCGGTTCCAACTCACCAGCTCCTCTGAGGGAGAAAGATATGGCGGTCTGCTTCTGTAAAGACTTACAGCCTTGGAAACCCTATGGGGGCAGTTCTACTCTGTCCTATAGGGTTGCTATGAGTCAGAATCGACTTGACGGCAATGAGTTTTTGGTTTGGCCCCCAAGAAAACCATTGATTAGAGATGAGTGAAATAACAAGCCTGAGATAAACAAAACAAGACACTGGGGGTTCAGAAGACAACCTTGTTTCTGTGGGACCACAGATCAGTCAGGTGTCCCCTGGACTCGGCTGTGTTGGCCATTGGCATCAACTGGCCTCTCTTGCTTGGCCTGGCCCCTACCTACTGAGGCCTGAGCTGAGGTGTTAGTATCTACTTTCTAATAGGAGGCTGAAGGACCTATAAGCAGTGGCTCTAACGGTGGAATTTCTGGCATGGGGAACAGAACCTTTAAGTCTTTGCTCTCCCGTTTCTATCATTCTCCCTTCTCCCTTCTTGGCCCTTCCCTCACCCTAGACTGGAAGGCTCCTGAGTTGACCAAGAGAAAGAGGAAAGAAGTAAGAAGACCAGCCCTTTCCTCCCACTAAATCAAGGAGTGGGCAAATGAGGGTATGTCCCACCCTACTTCCTAGCTGGAGAATATGGTACAAAGAGGTCCCAGGATGGTTATTATTCCTCAATAGGAGTGATATTCAGAATATTTAAGAGCCAGCATGGGCTATAAGGCAACTGAGTGGTGCAAGGAGTTAAGATGCTCGACTACTAGCTGAAAGGTTGGTGGTTCGAACCCACCCAGAGGTACCTTGGAAGACAGTGCTGGCAATCTGCTCCAGAAAGGTCACAGCCTTGAAAACCCTATGGAGCAATTCTATTCTGCACACGAAGTTGCCATGAGTTGGAATCGACTTGATAGCAACTAACAACAACAATAACAACATGGACTATGGTGGACCAAACAGAATCCATATGGGCTGTAGACAACTGCTATGGGGATATAGTATCAACCAGCTCATTGTGTGCCCTGCCCCTAAGCCCAGAACCATCCTCTGCAGTCTAGCCCTACCCATTCCCAAGCCCAACCCTGGGACCAGCTTCCCAGCAACGCAGCACATCTGTAGGACCCTTGTCTTATGCATTGCTACATCTGCAGAGCCTACTACAGTCCTGGACATAAAGGTGGAACTCAATAAACAAATACTGGACTAATAAATTGCCGAGAAGACATTCCCTGGTCTGGTAGAGTCCTTAGTCTGGATGTGGAGAATAAAAAAGAAGGGCTGGTTATATCCTTGCGGAGGCCCTAGACTGATGGAAGAAACACAGCTCTGGTCTGATGAGGGAGTTGGTTTCTGTAGCTGAAGTGAACTTGGGAGTACTCAGACCTGGCCATAGGGCTCCCTGGCCCCTGGATCAGGGGTCTAATGAGATAAAGGGAGAAAACTGTCATCAGCCCTAACATGGAAGGGCCAGTGTCCTCGGCAGGGCATGAGCCTATGGGAGGGAGGAAGGCCAGCTACAGGGGCCAAGGGGCCGAGACAGTGAGACCCGGCTCCACTGTTTTGTGGCCTCAAGTCCCAGCTCTGAATGTTGGAGTCCAGCATGGAGGTGGTTCAGGTATGCAGGCGCCAGCAAGGAGCTAGTCTTGCAAAAGTTGCACAGAACTTGCCGGGAGAACCTCAGTCCTTGAGCTATCTCCTTCAGTAAGGCTGACCTAGGAAGAGAAGGATGAAAATAGACATTTTAAGCACCTATTATGTGCCAGGTGCCTTGGCGGCACAGTGGGTAAGAGCTACAGCTGCTAACCAGAAGGTCAACAGTTCATATCCACCAGCTGCTCCTTGGAAACTCTAGGGGGCAGTTCTACCCTGTCTTACAGGGTCGCTATAAGTCAGAATTGGCTCGATGGTGACGGGTTTTGTTTTGTTTACTATGTATCAGGTATTTATCTCACTCAGTTTCTTGACTGCCCTACTGTGGGTAGATTAAATTATCCCCATTTTACAGATGATAAAGCCAAGGCTTAAAGAAGTGAAGCCACTTGACCTAGGCCCCTTGACTCTAAACCCCAACCTCTTATTGTCATACACACCACAACAACAGGCATCAACTGAATGCTCGGTGGTGGATACCTGGTTTTCAGGTCATCATGAGTCGGGGGCCAATTCAATAGCAGCTAATGATAACAACAGTGGAACCAGCATGTGGACACAGATTTATGTCTGGTGCCTGACTTTGATGGATGGAGGATGACAATTCCTTAGAGAGACCCAGTTCCAGTCTCTGCTCTTCCCCACTCCCAACACAGAGAACCAACGCCATCCCTGAGGAACACCCAGGGGAAAAAGAACAGCACAGCTGACTCTGACCTATGCCCACTCCCAGGTTCCTCAGCTAAATACATGTAATTGTTTGAGACTTTGTGATTCAGCAGGGAGAAGCCAGATTAAAGATGATGGACCTTGCCTTGTCTCTTTCATATCCTTCTGTGCCTAGGAGCTGGAAGTTTCCGCGGGTTCCAGGAGACTCCTGTATGCGGGGCAAGTTAGGTGCACTGAGGACTGGTACACAGCTACTCTAATTCTGCCTCTTCTGCAGGGAAGCGATTCCTTCTCTGACTGACCAGCCTCGCTAACACAGCTTTGTTCATCCTCCTCGGGGAGGAGCTAGGCCTGGGGACTCATCACCTCTTCCATCACTCAAGGCCTGGGCTCTCCTCTGCTTTTCCTGGCCCTGGGTTGGAGCAGGAAGGAGGAGTACCAGGACAGGGTTTGGCCAAACTGTGGCCATCTGGACCCATATGTGCCCTAGTCACCTACTCGTGACCTAGTGCCACCCCTATACACCTACTCTTGACTAAATGTACTTCCCAGGCACCCTGCCATTTGCCCTCAAACCACAGTCCTGAAGCTCCTACCGGCATGTTCCTTCTGGGCAGCGGCAGCCGGGCTGAAGGACTGTCTTCCAGGCTCCGGCCTCCCCGCCGATAGGAGCGCGTGCTCTCAGAGCTGAACGGAAGGAAAGGCCAACGTGACCCCCATGTCCAGAGAGCCCCTCAGAGTGGGAGAAAAAGAGTTCAGGTATAGCGAAATTCTGAGGCTTAGGGTGGGTAAGCAGAGAGTCCATGAGGCCCCAGGCTGAATCCACCACAGGCCCAAGAGGCCTGGAAGTGACCTCCAGAGTGCTCTGGGAATATCCCCAAGTCTACTTCCCCAAAACCCCAAACGGAAAGCGTGTGCAAGGAAAGGAGACAACTGGATCCTAGGCTGGGGTTGGGGGACAGACTAAAGATGCCACACAGCCCCCGGAATACTAAGCCACACAGGTGGAGCTGTGTCTTTTCTACTCTGACTTTAGCAACCAAGGTCCCAGGCTCCTCTCAGCTCTCTAGGCCAGATTTGGGAGCAGGTGAGTGTGTGTGTGGTGGAATGGAAGGGGCCCAGTTACCCTCCACTCAAGCCAGCATCTCTGTATTAGTCATGGGCCTCAGAGCTGGAAGGTATCCCAGTATTCAGGCAGGTACCATTTAGAGGTGGGAGAAACAGATGCTCAGAGAGGTTAGGAGACTTGCCAAGGTTGCACAGTTGGGCCCTCACCAACCTGAACCTGACAGGGGGATACATCTCTGCAGGAGCGGTCCCAGATGGCAGGCTGGGTCTACTGGTGCCCGGGTGCTCCCGGAGGCTCTCCTCAGAGCTAGGCAGGGCTTGGCTGGGACCCCCAGGCTCCACGGCGCTCGTGAGGCTGGAGGAGGAGGAGGCTGGGCTGCCCAGGCTCTCAGGTGACCCAGAGGGCTCTGAGCTCAGGTTGGGGGCTTCGGAACAATCTGGAATCAGAAGTGATAAAGCCTGTCATTATTATTCACTGTGTCTTTGGCCTTCAAAGCAGTCTTTGGCCTTTAGGATCTATCATGGTTCTCTCCCACTCCCACATCCCCTATCTACTATTCCAGCTTATCTCGCAACTCTTCCCTGTCATGCTTCGGTCTCCTGGATCATTCATTCGCGACAGCCAGGGCCACAATCTCAATTTTTGGTTCTGCTGATACCCTCTCCTCAGTCTGGACTCTGCTTCCCATTCCTCAGGTTGAGGTCAGATGCTACTCCCACCAGGGAGCATTGCTAAAACACCTCCCACCTCAATAGGATATGCTCCTCCCTCCCAAGAGCTCCCAAAACAAGCCTGGTCATTCATTCGACAAATAGTTCTTGAGAAGAGCCAGGCACTGTGCTAAGTGCTGGAGGAATAGCAGTGAACAAAGCACTTGAAGCTCTGTCTTTTTGGGATTTACACTGTCTATCACATTGTGCCTTGTATTACCATAATTGTATTCCAGTTTTTATCTCCCACATCAGACTGTGTCTCTAACCTTTGAAGGAAATGGGACACAATGGATGCTCAATAAATGCTTCTCTTTCTCTCTTTCTTTTTAATTAAGTGAAGCATTGGGGAATTTGGAATAAAACAGACCTGGGTTTGAATTCCACTTTGGAGACTCATTAGCTGTGTCATGTTGGGAATGTTACTTAACATCTCTGTTTCTTTACCCATAACAGGGGATAGTAACCCCTACATGGCAGGCAACTGTGAGGATGATATGGACTAACGCATGTGCAGCTCAGTGCCCCAGCAGGCACACAATGAATGGTCTGATGAATATTTTTCTGGGCACTCAACCGTACCTCCACTGGCATATCCTGCACGCCCCTGGACCGTGGTCCGAGAAGGGTTTTTGATAGGCAAGGGTGGGGGGATATCCTCATTCTGGCTCTGAGGGGTGGCTAATCCCAGGCTGGCAATGGTCTCATAGGTCTTGTTGCTGATGTCCAGCCTCCCACTGCCCCAGCGTGCTTGCGCTGGGGGCTTCAGAGGACAGCGCTGCAGGGACAAAAGAGTGAGAGGGAGGAGACCCTGGTTTCTCCAGTTCAGGCCCTCCCCTCCCCACACCAGGCTCAATCTGTCTCTTTCCTTCTGCTGTCCCTGGGGTCCAGCCAGCCCAGGGGCCCGTGGGGCAGGGGCTAGGACCCACCTTCTCCTCTTCATCCTCCTCACTGTCAGAGCCAGGGTCCGTGGAAATCCCCCAGGAGTAGTCCAGGTGCAGAGGGAAAGTGAGGGTCCCAGCCTGGGCCTGCTCCAGCTGCCACAAAAAACACTTGGCAGTTCAGAGGCTCAGGGGCTCAGTGGGGAGAGAGAAAAAGTCAGGGTCCCTCCCCTCCCCTAGACCTCACCAGCTCCTCACACTCCTTGTGCTGCTTCTTCCTGGCCATGTCCAGAGCCGTCTCTCCTGCCTCATTCACTGAAGAATAAAGTTAGGGGTCAGGGTCAAAGAGGCATAATAGCTCAGAGGTTAAGAGGGACTCTGCAATCAGTTGTCTGGGTTTGAATCCTGGCTCTGCCACTTCCAGGCTGTGTGACCTTGGGCGAGTTATCTAACCTTCCCTGGGTCTTGATTTTCTCATCTACAAAATGAGTATGATACTTGTAACTACCTGACAAGGTTGTTGTAAGGATTAAATGAGTTCATATATGTAAAGCCCTTGGCATATTACCAGGCACATGTTAAACAGTGAACGTTAGCTACTACAACCACTACTATTCCAATTCAGCTAATATTTATTCAGCTACGTACTTTCAGAAACAATTAATTTTTTCCTCTTAGCACCCTACTAAGTGGATGGCATTATTCCCATTTTACAGATGAGGAAGCTGAGGTTCAAGAGATAAACTGATAAATCCTCAAGGTCACAGAGCTGGTCAGAGGCAAGCCAGGATTAGAACTCAAGTCTGTCTGCAAAGTCCATGCTTGTTACCTGTGCTCTTTGTGTCTAGGGAAAGGGCAGGAAGTTCCACACAAGGGGTTGTCAGGAATGGGAGTCTGAGGGAGAAGGCGTTTGAGCCCACCTGTGCCAACTGAGGCTCTCCCTTTCAGCAGCAGCTTGAGGCAGCTGGGCTGGTTGTACAGGGCAGCATAGTGCAGAGCGGTGTTCCCATCAGGGGCCTTGGCATCTGGATGACCGCTGGGGAGGTGGTCAGGGAGGAAGGAAGGGAGGCAGACAGATGAGGGGGTATACTTCAGGAGAAAGAAAAGAGGGGAAGGAAAAGAAGGAAGAGAGGAGAAGAAGAGGGAAAGAAGGGGAGGGGTGCAAGGAGGTGCACAGAAAGCAGGGGTTCTCACCCATTCTGGATGATGAAATCCACCAGAGGCAGGGAGGCCTGGTTGGCGACTCTGACAGCCAAGTGCAGGGCGAGCTCTCCAGGTGCCTGAACACAGGTCCACACCTGAGTCTCCCCCCAGCTCATCCGTCTCCAACCCAATATCACCTTCTTAAGCTCCTGCTGCCCCGACACCCCCAGGTATGAAGCTGCCAGACCCCTGAGAAATAAGGCTGAACAGATGGAACTTCGTCTTTGGGAGGAGTGTAAAGGGCCATTCCTTCACTGCTTCCTTCAATGGTTTTTCCTCCTCCTGTCCCCAGTAGAAGGTGTTTCCCAAATTTTCATTCTTGGCCCCGGGCTCCTCTCTCTGCTCCCTCTCCCTCCTAGACCTCATCTAATCTCATGCTTTCAACTGTCACTCATGTACAGACTGTTCCAAATCCTTACCTCATCTAAGTGCTGCACCCTCACTGCTCGCTGGACTGACCCAGCGAGATACTGAGCAGGCAGCTCAAAGACCAGAATGTCCCAAACAGAGAGCTAAACCCCACCATGATCTCCTCCTGGTGCCTGGTACACAGTAAGTGCTATTTTTATGATGTCCAGTCAGCAAGGTCCCTAGGTGGTGCAAACGGTTTGAGCTCGGCTACTAACAAAGGTTGGTGGTTTGAACTCACTCAGCAGTGCTGTGGAAGAAAGGATCTGCTTCCATAAAGATTACGGCCAAGGAAACTCTATGGAACAGTTCTAGTTTGTAACACATGGGGTCACCATGGATTGGAATTGACTCAACGGCAATGGGTTTTGGTTTAATCAGTCAGCAACTCTTGTCGATTTAGTCCTTCACATGTCTCTGGTATCCTTTTCTTCCTGTCCCTCACCAGGCTGGATCCCCTCGCTCACATGATGTTTCAGTTACTGGATTAGCCAATGCTAGGACCTTCCCTGCTCTAATCTCACTGACCTTCACCCACTTCCAAGGCTATACAAAACCTGCTGTCACTGAGTCGATTCCGACTCATAGTGACCCTATAGGACAGAGTGGAACTGCCCCATAGGGTTTCCAAGGCTATCGAAGAAGAAAAAAAAAAAAAACAAAAACTAACATTTATTGTATATCTATTATGCACCAGGCCCTTTACATCCATGGCTGGACTTAATTCTCACTTCAACCCTGTGAGTGCTATTATTGATCCATTTTTACAGATGAGGAAATAGAGACTCAGAAAAGTTAAATAACCTGTGCTGGCTCACACAGCTAGAAGAAGGCAGAGCCAGGATTGACCAAAATCATGCTCTTTCCCATTTACCCCTCTGATACATGGGTTTTGAGCAGATATCAGAGGTGGAACAGAGGGAAGTCATAGCTGATCCTGGAGGATTTGGGGGTAAGTGAGTTTGGGTGGTCCTTGGAGGGGGTTCCCACCTGTCTGTCCGGCCCAGGCAGTGGCTGTCCAAAGTCTTGCCCATTAGCAAAGGCTTCCAGTACCGACAGGAGGTCCCGGTTATAAATGGCTGTCCAGAGTCTCTGAGGCTCGAAAGTGGACCGGCGGGCAAACCTGTGTTCCACATACTTGGCCACAATGTAATCCCTGCGGGGGCTCCTGCCAAAAACAGCCACAGGTCTCAAAGCAAAGACTATCTCCCCCTAGCTGCTCCCTGGGACCATTCCACAGGAGGCACAGGCCTCTTTTTCCCCGGAACCACACCCTGGGGAATCCCAGATAGGAGTCTTCCCTCTCTGCACACTTCTTGCCCAAGATCCTGCTGAGACTCGCCCTCTAGCAGGAGCCCCCAGCCAGGACGCCCCTCCAGCTGAGAATCCCCTTACATGTCACTCTCAGCTGAAAGTTTAGGGCTGCCATGTGAGGGTAGCTGGGCCTCCATGACCTCATTGAAGCGTGTGTTGCCGATGTTCAAGGCCAGCTGGGTGGAGAGAAAGTGGTGGGGTAAGATTGGGTGGTTAAGACAGCGCCCTCCAGTGGGAAAGCCTCCAGAAGTCCCACCCCTCGGTCGCCCTCCCTGTCCAAGCCCTGTCCTTGGCCATCTCCTTTCTGGGTCGTCCAGATCCTGCCCCACATCTGCTCCCACCGCCCCACTCCAGACTCTACAAAAGGTCTAGCACAGCCAACAGACCCAAGCCCCACCCCCTGGCCAAAACCCGCCCCTAACATCCCCCCACCATTCCCATTTGGGCCCTGCCCCCATCCCCGCCCTCACCAACAACTCAGAAGGGCCCAGGAGGTCCAAGGTGAGGGACTGCATACGTGAGAAGCGCACGCCCAGCTCACGGTGGACGCCAGAGCACTGGATGCAGGTGAGCACGCCCAGGTTGGTACTAAGCCACGTGGGGTCTGCAAGGTATGAACAGCTCATTCCTGGGGATGTGACCCCACCCCTCCTTTAGCCTCCCCCATTCACCTCGACCCCACTGACTGACCTGGAGCCCCGCAGTCGCAGCACTGGCCATTCCCGGGCCTGCTCTTCACCTCAGCGATTAGCAGCTTCGTGAAGTCCCGGGGCTCTCCATCCAGCCCGGCACCCCCACAGGGTCCCGGGCCACTGCTGGGATCCCCAAGGAAGGCACTGCTCAAGGCTTCATCCTTGCTGTTCTGCAGCACTGATACCCATCTGCAGAGAGTGTGGGGTGAGGTCGGGGTGACAGCCCTGTTGTGGGGGCTTGTGTCACACCCAGAGGCTGCCAGTTTAATAGGCTTCCCTGCCCCCACTCCAAGGCTGGCTGTTGGGGCACTCACGCCTCACACTCGTGTTCATCCTCCGCCTGGAAGTGGTATGTCCGGTTGTCTGTAGGGAGAAGAGGGGGTGTCTGGCCCACAGAAATCCTGTTCACCTTCCCTGAGGCCAGGGAGCCCTCACCCAAATTACCAGGTCTAGATGGAGCTTTTGTCTCTATGGGGTCAGCATCTCCCAAGCCAGGAGTGGGGAGGGTAACGAGAATGGCCAGCAGTGGGGACAGCTTCGCAGAAGTCCCTCCCAAGCAGGAACCCAACAAGGCTCCCTCTGTATGGTGCTCCCCGCCTAGACCTTGCTTCCAGGGTCAGAGGAGGCCTTCCAAGGAGAAGACCCTACCCAAGTGAGAGGCAGGATATTCTTCATCCCCACTGTCACCATTCCACTCTGCCCTCAGCCTCCTGTCTGGTCTCCCTACTTCCCATCTCTCCCAGAGCCTACCAGATTGCCTTCCCTAAGGTTCTGCTCTAATTGCTAGGAAATAGGGTCTGATCTTTTAGGAGGCATTCCCAGGCCTCATCTCCCACTTCTCCTACATGAACCCTCCACTCTAGCCAAACTGGCCAGGTCCACTCTCCTGCCACCATGCTTTTCATCACGCCAGTTCTATCTCCTAACTATCCTCCCCCAAACTCTATATTCTACATGTCCTTCAAGGCCAAACTCAAGTGTCCTCTCCTTCAAGCAGCCTCCTGATTCCCCATAGCAGGGCACACCTTCCTTCTCTCTCATCACCTGCAGTGCCATATCTGCACCTCTCTTCTGGACACACCCCCTCATCTTACAGTCCTAGGTCCCTACCTCACACCCCTGCCAGAGAGAGTTCCCTGAGGATGGGATCTAGATCTTTCTCAGCCTGTACCCACCCCCATGTAAAGCCTGGCACAAAAGTTTCCAAAGGATGAAAAGTGAAAAATCAAAAGTAACAATAATTTTGAAAACAAAATTGTCCAAATCCATTTAAATATGTTTTATAGAAATAATCATATTTGGTATGGGTGCATTTTAATGTTTATTGTGATATAGGATGAAACCTCTAAAAAGAGTATCCAGGGCCTAAGGGTTCTTATGCATGTAGAAGTAGCTGTTCAATAAATATGAGTGGAACTGGACGTAAACCCCTAGTTTAAGCCCCCAGGAGCTGATAGTTCTTTTAGAAAAGGCCTGGGGGAGGGGGACAGGGACCACTCACGGGTCACCAGGTCAAAGCACTTCTTCTCTTCAGGGTTTGGTCTCACTTGGCAGGTCAGCAGGGTCAGCTTCACCGGGGGCCGATTTATCTGTGGGAATTGGGGGGTGGAGGATGGACATGTTACCCTTTGGGCCTTCCAAACTCTTTGGGTCTCAGTTCCCTAGTCTGTTAAATGGACATAATAATCTTGTTCCAGCTCATGTTTCCCCTACCCTGGCACCTCAAGGATATGGAGTGTAGATAAAGACTAGGTTGGGGGCTTTGGTACCCACTGTTCCTCCCAAGGGTCTCCAGCTCCCTGGATCCAATTCTATCAGCATACACTAGCTTCTCAGTAAAGGGAGAGAGGCTGTGAGCAGCCTTCCAGCCATCTTGGGGGCCAGTCTTGGAGGGAGGGCTTGGCACCTTTCTGCTCAGAACACCACGAGGAGAGGATACACCCTGCCCTGAGACTCCTAGCCCCTCACCATGCTGTGTGAGATGGTCAGGCAGCCATACTTGACCCCACACTTCCTTTTCTGCCAGACTCTTCGAATTCTAGGGCCCACACAGAGAAAGAGAGAGAGGCAGTTACTCAAGGGTCACATCTAATTCCCCTGTATCAGACAAGAGTACTGAACCAGGTCCCAAGCCCCACCTGTACAACCTCCAACCACACCTTTTTATACCTCTTCACTCCCCTGACCCCAACACCCTTCATGCTCTAGAGCCCTGATCTTAGGAAGCTCCCAGTCTGATGGGGGAAATAGTCCCAGTCTCTAGGAATCTTTATTCTAAAGGGGACAATGTAGCTTTGGCCCTTTCAGAGTTTCTAGTATGATGGAGGAGACATAGGGAAGTTTAACAAAATTATCCTCTGATAAAAGCTGATTAGTTAGTAAAAACATGAACATATACCATAAGGGTCTTTGCATTTCACAGACTGATTTTTTTTTACACCACGGAGCAAGGCACAGGCAACACGTTCATTTGTAGGCATATTCAGTGTATTGTAGAGGCTAAGAGTGAGGGCATGGAGCAGACTGTCCAGGGCATGCTGAATGTTTAGTAAGTGTAAACTGCTGTTATTCTTCTTCTTCTTCAAGTTAAGAACAACCAGGGGTCTTTAGCAGAAGTTCACATACAATCCAGGATTCTGATGATTCTACATTGCCTATTGATCCTGGAACCCTGACAGTCTACACAAATTATAAGAACAGTCCCTTTGGGCAGCTCCCCCAGCCCTGCCAATTACTAGCTGTGTGACTTTGGGCAAGTTACTTAAGCTCTCTGTGCCACTTACCCATCACTTTTCTTGTACAGAAAGCCCACCTTCTCTGTCCCAAACTGCTTGTTGCCCTGGTGCTGGTGGATGCTGTAGCCACCTCCAGAGTTCTTTCGGCCCACACTCTCCTGTTTCTCAGACATGCAAAGGAGACCTCAGGTGTTTGTCTGGGAAGAACCCCATTTGCTGGGGTTCTCACTCAGGGAGACTTCTCAAGGGGACCCTGTGGGGCTCTCCTCCCTCCCTGGTGGGCCTTGGGGAAGGTCATTTCTTTTGAGACGATTCAGGGGGTGACCTCTCTGCTCTCGAGCTGTAGTGTCCCCCGGAGGGAGTCCCGGAGCTGGGTCAGCTTCTGAAGCTCCTCCTCCTGGGCTTGGCGCAGCTGTGGGACAGAGAGCAGGACGCCACTATCAGCCCACAGAGATCCAGGTGCAGAGCCCAGACCCAGAGCAGGAGGACAATGGCCTCATTACGTGGGCAGGAGCCAGCTCTTCCACACTCACTGTTTTTCCAGAAGGACAGGGAGCTTCACCACATGCCCAAGAGTGAGGTCCGACTTACTGTGTGTACTGAGGCTGCCAGCTTCTCAATGAAGGGAGACAGGCTCTGAGCAGCTTTCCAGCCATCTTGGAAAAAGCTAAGAGGTGTCAGAGGCCAAACAAGGGACCGGAGAGAGAAGAAAATGAGAGGTGAAGTCTGAAGTGTGGGAGGGAGTGGCTCTAAGGATCTCAGGGCAGCTGGGGGCAGGGTAGCCTGATGGTCAAGAGCAGGCACTCTGGAGTCAAACTGTCCGGGTTCAGATTCCACTGACTAGCTATGTAAATCTGCAGCTCAGTTTTCTTATCTGTAAAATGGGAATAATAACAGTCCCTGCTCAGAGGGCTGTAGGGAGATTAAGTGAGATTAAGTGTGTAAAGCACTTTGAGCTGACACACAGTGAGCACTCAATAAAGAGGAGCTGTATACAGCAGTACCAACAAGGTACAGCCATCCAGAGTCCTCTAGGGTCTGCCAGACCCTGGGGATAGGCCTTGTTCTGTGTTTCCTGAAAGGGCTTAGGGGTGAGGGACATGGGGTTGAGGGTGGGGACCAGCATCCTTGGCACTCAGGGAGATACCTACTTGTGCTGGGCATGGAAGAACTTGATGAGGCTCTGCAGAAAATCAGGACCTTGCTTCACCTGGCTCTCCCCGGCTTTCAGCAGATACTAGGAGGAGGGGCGGGGCAAGATGTGTGATGGGAGCAGAAGCTGAATCCTAGAGCCAAGGGGCTACAGTTCCCATCCGAGGCTAGTCCTCCTCAGAGCCTCAGTGACATCCCATAGGGCCATCTGGCCAGGACCTGGGATGAGGCTGTGACTGGTCCCCGAGGGGTTTAGGTGAGACAGACAGGAGGACACACACCACCCCCCACCTTCACCCCGCGTGCACCCTTACCTCACACATGTGCAGCTGGAAGATGCGCCGTTCTCTCTGAGTGTCCTGGGCCACCTCCCCAGGGTTCCCTCCTGCAGCCCTGGCCCGATCCCTCTCCTTCTCCAGCCTGGCCCTAGGTCCCAAGAAAAGAGAGGCCTGAATAACTCTCCCCCAGGCCTCTTCATGTCCCACCATTGCTACATCTCCTCTCTGCCATGGATACCCTAGAGTGAGGGGGCCTGTGCAGTTCACAAGGCCCTCCTGTGTGCCGGTCAGTGTGGCAGGGCTGGGGCGTAGTGGTGAACAAGACACAGTCAAGGAAACTTTCACCTAAACCACAATAAAATGTTAAAAATAAATAAATAAATAAATAAATAAAAACAAAAGACAGAGTCAAAGAATCCATAGACTCGGGGGGACAGAAATGCAAATCAAATCACAACCATGACCAGAACTATGGGAGCCTAAAGGGGGGGATCAGACCTCGTCTTCAGCTGGGAACTGATGCTTGAGAAGCAAGCTAGAGCTAGGCAGGAGGGTCAGACCATGTGACAGCCTGCAAGCAGGAGGGATCAGGGGACATACAGAGGTCTGAGGAGTCCAAGTGCAGAGATAGAGAGGGAGGTGGTTCCAGGTGAGGGCCAGACCACGTCGGGTCTGATGTTGTTATTATTAGCTGCTGTCAAGTTGATTCTGACTCTTGGCGACCCCATGTGTACAGAGTAGAACTGTTCTCTAGGGTTTTCAAGGCTGTGACCTTTGGGAAGCAGATCGCCAGGCCTTATTTCCAAGGTACCTCTGGTGAGTTTGAACTACCAACCTTTCTGTTAGTAGACCAGTGATTAACTATTTGCGCCACCCAGGGACTCTCATAAGGAGCCTGGTGGTGCAATGATTAAGCGCTTGGCTGCTAACCAAAAGGTCAGAAGTTCAAACCCTGCAGAAAAGGCTCAGCAAAAAAGACTTGGCAATCTGCTCCCATAAAGATTACAACCTAGGAAACCCTATAGGGCAGTTCTATCCTGTCCTGTAGGGTTGCAATGAGTTGGAATTGACTCAACAGCACACAACAACAACAGGGACTCTCGTGCAGTCTAATTAAGATCATATTAAGGTTCTTGGTCTTTATCCCAAGAGCACTGGGAAGGATCTGAAGGCTTTTACGCAGGGAGGTGAGGGGCTCAGATAGGGCCAGGTGGAATTTGGGGGGATCAGTTCTGATTTTGCAGGAGGGGTTTAGAATGGTAGGTTAGAAGACCACAGCGTGCCTTCATTCTTCTGAGCCCGTGGGGCTTTCCACTGAAAGCTTTAGAAGACCTTTGTTCTGTTCTTCTTAAGTGAAGACAGAAAGCACTTTCCATTCTTGTAGCTAAGAGTAACCGGAGCCTTCCCCCTATAGATCTCAAGGGTTGGCTGTTTTCCCTTTGTGGAGGAGTGGAACTGTGTGTATAAATGGTTTCCTAGAAATCCCACACCCATCAGACTATCCACTCCCAGCCAGGAGCATATTTCCACAGCTGGGGCTGGGTGTATGTGACCGTAAAACCCTGTGAAGATGTCTTAACAGTAATGCTCCCAAGTGGGTGCCAGTCCCTAGCAGAGAAGACAGACTTGGGCTTAATACAGGGTCTGCTGCTTACCAGCTACATTACTTCTTCTGTCTGAGCATTGCTTTCTTTATTCGGAATATGGGGGAGTGTGGTCCTTATATGTACCCAGATAAGATAAGGCATGTAAAGGACTTAGCACACAGCAGACACAGCAGCTATTATTACTTTTAGTCTCTCAGGCCTCAGTTTTCCTATCTGTAAACTGTGGAATCAGTGGCCTCGAATGAGTGCATAGGTCCCTTTTGGCTCTAAAGCTCTGGGCCTTACTGAGGCAAGACCTTTGGGCAGTGTTTATATGCAGAATCTGTCTCTGGATACCTGGAGAGCAGAGTGTCTCTAGCATGGAATCACGGACACTTGGGGCTGGATAATCCTTTGTTGCAGAGGCTGCCCTGTGTACTGCAGAATGCTTAGCAGCATCCCTGACCTTTATCCACTAGATGACAGTAGCATTCTCCTAGTTGTGACCATCAGAAATATCTTTAGACATTGCTAAATGTCTTCTGTCAGGGGTATGTGTGGGAAAACTGTGTGGTTAAGAACCACTGGTACAGGGCAGGGTGCTGCAGGCTTGTTCTGTTTTTAAAAAATTTCTGAGAAGGGGTTACTTTTCATTTCCCTAAAGCTTTATGATACTCTAAGCAGGAGTTTGTGGCAGGGTCAGTTGGTGTGGGGACTAACCCTGTGAATTGACTCTGGGGGTCAGTGCAGATGAAGTTTTTTGGGGATCTGGAAACAAGCAGCAGAGAGGGGAAGCAAAGGCCAAGGCTGCAGTGTGTCAGCAACAACGAGCCTGGCGGTTCGTTAAGGAGGGTGGAGACAGAGCAGCAGATCAGTGGGGGAGAGGGCAAAGCTCCCCGTGCACAGGGTGATCATATCTTTCACTAGTAAAAAGTGAATATTAGCTACATGTCTGTTAATAGGAAATGGTTCAATATATCATGGTGTGTCCACATACAGGAATACTACTAGGCTGTTAAAAAGGATGAGGAACATTTATATATACTGACATGGAAAGACATCTGCCCCACAGTAAATGGACAAAGAGCAAGCCACAGTGTAGTACAGTGGTTAGGAATGGGGATTCTGGATTTGAATGGCAGCTTCTTCACTTACTTTACCTTTATAAATCTTCCTAAGCTTCAGTTTCCCCATTTCAAAATGAGAAAAAATAACACCACCTAGTTATTGAGTATTAAAAAGCAAAGATGTCACTTTGAGGACTAAGGTACGCCTGACCAAGCCATGGTATTTTCAATCATCTCATACGCATGCGAAAGCTAGACAACGAATAAGGAAGACTGAAGAAGAATTGATGCCTTTGAATTATGGTGTTGGCAAAAAATACTGAATATACCATGGACTGCTAAAAGAATGAACAAAT